GAAGAACCAAAAATTCACAAAGCGTTTCATAATATTTCCGGTTGGAATAATATAACAACCACCTGTTGGAAGCGGTTGGAAGCCAAGTTGGTGAAGCGGTAAAAAAGAACTAATATCATAATACAGGGTGCATAGCTAAATTATTTAACAAAAAATAAGCACCTTTTAAGCACTTTTCAAGCACTCAAAAAATATTTTTAACCACTTTAAAAAAATATCATAACTAAGCAGGGTTGGAACGCTTTTGACTTGTTTGTTGAACGGTTTTATCTTGTTTTAACCATCTTGTCAAAAAATAAAAAAAATTTAAAAAAAAACATTAAAAAGAAATATTTTGGCATTGTTTATGACAATTGTCAAAAATCATGAAAAACGAAAGTTGTTTTCATACGTTACGGACTGACAACACACCGAAATAGATTGGGGTTGAATTAATTGTAAAAACGTTGAATAGAACAATGTGAGCTGTGTCATAATTCAAAGCGAAAGTTAACATAGTAAAGGAAAAATCTTATTTGGATAAAGGGAAAATTAAGCACTTTTTAAAAACATCTAATGAAAAAAGCACCTTTGAAGGCTTTTAAAAAACGAAAATAAGCACCTTTAAGCACTTTTTAAAAATGCTACGCTCCCTGTAACAGATGAACAATTTTAAGATAGAAACAATCCGTTAAACGTATAAAACACAAATATATTTATTTATTTATTTTAAAAAAAGTTTTGTTATCAATATTTATTATTTGGTACGGTAAAATAGAATTATATTAGGATTCGAATACAGAATTCCACAGATAATTTTTGACCTTTACTTCAAAAAGTAATTAAAAAAATGTCCGAAATATTTATTTTTAAGAATGAATAAGTTTAGAACCAAATTTTAAAATACAGAAACTGTGTAAAAAGCAGAAAAGTATATTTGTATGTTTTAAAGTGTTGTTTAATAGAAAAACCAATGTTCATTTTTTTAAAGAAGACCTAATTGCTGAGATTAATCAGAGTAGGACAATTTGAAAAAAGATCATGCTCTACGAAGAGAAACTGCTTCTTTTATGATGTCAGTCGAAATAATTAAGTGATCAACTACGTTTTAATTTTAACAAAAAATTATTTTTATGACTAAGTTTCAGTTGTTGTGAATATGTAAAAAAGTTGACATCTGTTTGCAAAATAAAGAATTAAAATAAATTAAGGATTAGTTTGTAGAGATTTTGTGTAACATAAATAATTGAATTAATTGAAATAATGAATTGTCTTCGAATCATTAAGGATTGAGTTCCAGTACATGAAAATCCAATCATTATATCAAAAGTTATTAAGGTGTATGATTATTTTAAATTGTGCACTTTACATCAATGTGTATAGTTTGGAAACTAATAATTAATGTAAAGAAAGAAAATAAATGAATGAAATATATTATAATATCAATTTATTATTTCTAAAATATAAAACTAAATAAAATTCAGATTTTTTTTTTCTTTCTTTTTTTTTCAGAATCGTTCGGGCTTGGTCAATTTTAATCATTATGTTCAGGTAAATAGTAAAGAGAAAAAAAACGTTTTTGTATTTTCCCACGCCCTTCAGCTTCTTCATCAGATGTTAGATTTAGATAGCAAAAAAACACGGAGCTTTATTTCTATTCTATGCAATAATATGCTGGTCTACTGAAATACTTAACAATAAAAAAGCTATACAAACACACCATACAAGCAGATATTTCCAAAGTTTGGAGATAAGGAGTTAAGAGTCGTGCCTTATCACGAAATCCACCTTTACCACGTGCTCGGGATTCTCGGCGTGAGAAAAAGAGAGCAAAATTATATCCAAATAGATTATACGGAGGAGGGAGATGAGATATATAAAAAAAAATAGGGAGTGTGGAGGTCTAAATAAGTGGAGTATCCCACGCTCACGAATGCAACCACCCGCACACATCTGGGCGAGAGGCCAGCCAATCAACACACGCGACTTCCATCGGATCTTCTAACTTTCTCACAGTCAGGGTTGCCAATAAAAAACTTTTATTGCATATTTGGCAAACTTTTCCTGATTTATGAGATTGAAAATTTTTCTACTATAATTTTTTCCCCCCGTAGGATTGAATTAGTGTTAGAATTTAAAATATTTTAAAGAGTAGCCTAAAATATTTTTATAAAACTTTATAGGTTGCATCTCCATTTATTCAGATATCATTGCTAATTAAATTATTTTCATTCAATCTAAGAACTTTTGTTTTATCAAATTTCGTTTAAGTTTGTTTTAACAGAAATAAAAAAAATAAGCAGGGTAGCTTCTGAGCTCTTTAAAAACATTATGCAAGCTAAGAAATTTTGCTTATTTGTCATTATTTTTAAATAAATAAAAATACAGCTTCTAAGTTCATGAAAAAAATAATATCACTCAACTAAATTTTGTTTTAAAAGTTCGTTTATTTATTATTGTACTGCAAAAAAAAAAAAAAAAATCTTAAAGCAGCATTCAATTACATAATTTTTTCTTTTAAATTTTATTTACTTTTTATTGTTTACGAAGAAAAAAAAGAACATCAGTATTAATTAAAAAATACCATTTAATCTAATAGTTTTTGCTTTTATTTTGTTTTATTCATTTCTGAAAAAAATAACTAATCCGAAAAGTAGAAGATTTTTTAATTATAAAAAAAGCCAGGACGTGGGGCTTTTCAAATTTTTAGATAAAAATTTTTAACTTGTAAAGGGCTTGACACCAATTACTGTCATAATTTTATTCTTCTTTATTGTTCTATTTTATCAGTATTATTTTTTTTCTATTAGTTTAAAATGTATAATTGGTTCTATTTGTTTCAAAATGTACAGTTGCTTCTAAAGACCTAGACATGGGTCTAATAATCCAAAAGTGGAACGTAAATTTTGCTTTTTTATTATCATTAATTTTATACATCTGAAAATTTCTTATAATAAATTTCTCAGCAAATCTAGAATATTTTTTTTTATAAAAATTGTGTGATATTTATCATTAACCCTAAAAGGCAATTCCATATTAATATTTAAAATCAACTTAAAAATGTCATTATAACTTATCCCATACCTTGTCATTTTTATTTTATTCTGTTTTAAAGCTGATGAAAACATTTTCAAAAAAGAAATTGCGGGAAAAATGGATTTTTTTTTACAAAAAGTTTAATTTACAAATATTAATTACAAAAAATGTTTAAAAATACTTTTAATATAACTAATAAATCATGAATTAAAATAAAAAGCTTAGAAAAAAAATTTAAAAATTTCTGAATGAGATTAATATTTAAATTTAGATTTTATTTACGAAGAAAATGTTTAAAAACAGCTTTGTCAAGCACTGATTATTTCAGTAAATTATTCAAAATGTCAAGCCTCAATTTTTAAATAAATGTCTTTACATAACTTTATAAATGAAACGAAATTACATTTAAATAATGATTTACACGCAAGATTCATAAAGAAATCTTTATAATACGGAATTTATCAAGAAAAATTTACTGATAAAACCAGTTTTGGAACTATACTCTTATGATAGAAAAGTATATTTCTTATACAATTTTTTTATTAAACAGTTAAGCATGCGTTCTTTATAAGGTATAATTTTTTTTCTTTGTAGATACTAAAAATTGATAATTTTAAATTCTTATAAATATTTTTTGATTCACTTGGAACTTAAAACATGTTATGGTCAACTGTAATTATGAAAGATTTTATTCAACCAAGCTCATAAATGGGGATAATTTTCTCTATTTTGCTAAATTCACACTTAAAATGCTCTTTCATTAAAGTTGCTAAACTTTCTTAGTAACTTTTACAAATTTTAATAGCTTTAATAAAAATCATGAATTGATTTTTTATTTAAGTTTAAAGTTCAAATTTTAAATAACATAAAATTAATATTTAATTTTTAGATTTATTAAATATATTTTGAAATTTAGTGTTTATTTTCGTTAAAACAAACATTTAGTTTATTCAAATCTAATGCACATTTTTTTCATATCTTCATATAAAAAACTTTGCAACTGCAGTTCAAAACACATTCTAATTCTATAAAATTATTAAAGGATTTTTTTCATCATTATAGATTAAAAAAACTTATTAAAGCTTTTATTTTATTAATTAAAAAACTGAAGTTTTGGGAACTAATTTTCCTAATTTTAAAATGAATAAAAATAAAGCGTACTTCTTAAAAATTACCAAGAGAAATTAAGAAAAATTAAGGAAGGGGTTAATGAGCTGAGCAAATACTTTAAATCAGTAACGTATTTTATTTGAAATTCAGTCAATTTATATAAAATTTATGGAATTAGCTTTTTTTACTCTTTAATTATCATTAGACCTTCGTTTTAATAATAAAAATTTAATGTTCATTTAAAAAGAATTTACACACATTATAGAATTTTTAATATATATTCAACAGTATTTAAGAAATATTGCGAGTTCTTTAAATATCACATGAAATTAAAAACAATTATGGGAGACCTTGTGAACTGAAATATATTCTTTAAAAGGATAATATATTTTATACTAAATTACTTTAATTTTGAATGAAACATGTAAAATAAACTTTTCTTTCACTTTTTAGCGATTACCAGGCACTTTATTTAAGTTCAATTAAAAATTTGCTGATATAGAGTTTGTGATAAATAAAACGGTTTCGAATAAATATTGTGACAACAGCCATACGGTGCAATTTTCCCATCATCTCTTCACGGCAAATCACCTGCTCTTTGGCGACCGCCAGCCCTGGCGTACGTTCGTATGGAAACCCATTCATTCAATGCACGTTTCAGCCAAAGTTCCACAATAGACGAAGGAAGTACAAGTCGCGTGGCGCGGTACAGTTTGAACTCAGTAAGCTCGTGTGCCTTGGCGAGTGCTGGTCGTGTGTTGTGCACCCCTTACAACTTCCTAACCATTCTCAAAGCAGGTAGACATGAAGCGAAATCTCAGTGATATGGACTCTGAATGTGACGATGTCTTTGGCGATGATTCCAAAGGGTAAGTGGACAACGAACAATCAAGTTGTTCCTTTTTCCTCGTAAGGAGTTGGATTTTTTTTTTAAAAAATGGACTCAATGAACTTCGTCAGATCAATTAAATTACCCTTTTAATAAGCGGTTTTCCTAAATTTTGGAAGCATTCATTTTTAATTATTATGGAATATTCTTTTGGAATATTTTTGGAAGCATTCATTTTTAATTCTATCGGAATATGCTTTTCGGTTATTAATAACGGAATATGCTTTTCGATATGATATGCAATGAAATTTTTAAAGTTGCTGATTGTTTTGTTTTCTTTTTAATTTTATGATATGATGAGATGAATAAATATATCTTTATTAAAATTTTACTCATTCCTTCATGTTTCATAAAGTTGCGAAAAATCACATTAAAAATGGTTTATAAAAATGTAAAATTTTTCAAGGATATTTATCTGAAGAATAAGTTGATTGCTTTTCAGGTAAATGGTATTCTTAGCTTTGATTATTTTTATTATTATCATTATTAGTTTGAAAATGACAATTTAAGTTAGAAAAGAAAAATTATAAACATACATGATATTCTTATTTCGTTTTATAAACAATAAATTGAGACTTTTAATTTTATTTCGTGTCAAATTAAATTAAAGGCTGGTATAATCTTTACTTCCTTACGAGTACGCATTAGTTGAGCATAAATTATTTAAAAGTGCAAAAATATTTCTGTTGTTTATTTTTCTCTTATTCATTATTAACATTGGGTAATTTATTTTTATTTTCAATCATTTAAAAATGTGCAATTAATATTTACTTTACAATCTAAATATCTGGTTATAAAGCCATATGTAACAACATATATTTATCTGCTAACACATTTCTCCTACAGAATGCTACTATTGCAGTGAAACTAGTTTTACAGACTTGCTTGTAACTTCATAATTATATATTTTAGAATTACTAAATTAATAAGAAAATATATAATTTTCTTTTATTTACAGTATTTTTGACAGCCTATTCGTAAGAAGTTTTCATTGCTTCTTTAATTTCTCTACAGATCTACATCACTATTGTACCATAAAAAGCTTTACCTCAGCATAATAACGTTGTAATGAAACTAATTTCAAAGAATTTGTTATCCCACAGTTTCTATTATTGTTCGCGATTATTACAAGAGTAATTTATATGTAAAATTTAAAATAATGTGTTCAATTAAATCAGTGTTTTTATTAAAGAAGTTTTTATATAGTAAAAGTTTGCCGTTGTAAAACTGGTTTTACGGAATTTTTACTCTTCTGTTTATTGTGATTTTTTAGAAATGCGTGTGCAAATTTGTTACAAATATATTAATGAATTAATTGATTTACACAATAATCTTAACTGATATTGTTGTCTTTTGTCTAATTATAAGTCATTAAAAACTATTAAGTGAGAAATTAATATTCTCTGTAAAATTAAATAATTTGCTTTACTGGATGTGCGTGTTTTAAATAGAAACACACATATCAATTAAATAGTTTCTCTTAAGGATCGATGTTGTTGCAGTAAAACCAGCTTTATGGAATTTACTAACTTAAGCAAAAACGCGTATTTCATATTATTTCAATCATGGATGCCCGTGATTTTGTTCAAGTAGTTTCTCCTACGGAACAATGTTGTTGCGGAGAAACTAGTTTTACAGAAATTTCACGCGTCTGTTTTCTTAAGCTTACTGTGATTTTTCTGAAATACTATCCGTGGAATTTCATACTACTATTTATATTTAAATAAGTTAGTCTTGGATACCCGTGAATTTTATTATTTCTATCATAGATGCCTGTGTTTTTGTTGAAATAATTTCTTTTATGGAACAATGTTATAGCGAAGAAACCTGCTTTACAAAAATTTTTCACGTCTGTTTACTTCTGATAATTGTTATTTTTCTGAAATACAATCCGTGTAATTTCATACTATTATTTATATTTTGAATAAATCTATCTTGGAAGCTCGAGGATTTTATTATTTCAATCATTGATAACTGCTTTTTCGTTCAAGTAGTTTCTCCTGCGAAACAATGTTGTTGCGGAAAAACTATTTTTACAGAAATTACACGCGTCTGTTTACTTCTGCTTATTCTGAAATATAATTCGTGTAATCTCGTACTATTATTTCGTAATTAGTTTCAATGTAATGTATAATTTCCAATTTCTTGACGAATTAAATGATGTTGCGGTAAAACTAGTTTTACAAATTTTGTGCATGCCTTGTTTTTCAATTTTTCTGAAATATATGACCAGCAATTTTATATTATTAATATGTTTAAGAATTAATCTTAATGTAAAGTTCTATGTTTTTAATTGCATCGAATTTTAAACATGTTCATCTCTTTCAGAACACCAACACAAAGTAATGATAGCTGCCAAATGTTGAACAGGAAAAGAAGACGAGGGGTAAGAATTAGTTTATTACTATTTATTATTAGTTAGGTATTATTCTTTATAGTTGGATTTTTTTTAATAGCAAAAATATTAGTTTAAAACCTAAGTTTAAGGAAAAATATATTTAAAAAAAGGAAAAACATTATGATTTTTTTTAGTTGAAGGAATATTAAGTTCCTTTTTAAAGTTATTAAACATTCAAGCATAATTTTTACACATTTAAGTTTAAATTTATTAATATAATAATATTGTAAAACATGACTGTGTCAGATATTACATTTATTTAAGAAATATTTTTTTTTCTTCTTTTCAGTTTCAAAATCAATTTAAAAGAATGGTGAATTATCCTTATGATTGCTCTTTTAATTATTTAAAATAATAATTTTTAAAAAAAATTAAACTTAATTAACTAAAATCACCTTTTTAATCTTTAACACCCTGTTTGAAACAGATCTAAATTGCAATTTATTACTTTAATTTCAATTATGTATTTTTAGATCACATGCATCATAAAAATTTATTTATTTTTCAAATTTTTAGATTATTGAAAAAAGGAGAAGAGATCGAATCAACAGTTCGTTGTCAGAACTTAGAAGATTGGTCCCGGCAGCCTTCGAAAAGCAGGTAATTTGTTATGATTGGTTATTATTAACTAAATTGTTCAAATAAAACTACATTTATTTTATGGATGCTCTATAAATATCTATTTTACATAATTAAATGTCAAATAAAAGTTTTTGCAACATAAATTTCTAATGAAAAAAAATTTTAATGCATTGTTTATCTATACTTATGCCAATTCATCTCTTTGTCTTCAATTGGTGAATTCTTCAATTTGAAACTATTTCATTCCTTTATTATTTTTATTTCGAATATTTATGTGATTTAAACCTTTTATGGATTAAATAATAAAGTATTTGAGAAAACTGAATTTTCAAATTAACTGAACTTTTTCTTTGTTTCTAACAAGTTTTTCCATAATTTAGTTTAAATAACTCTCATGAGTACCGTTTTTGTGAGTTTCATTTTAAATCTTGCCTTAGTACTAAGTAGTGCACAATTATATTAAAACTGCTAACATTTCTTTAAGTTACCAAAACTAAATTGAATCTTGTAAAGAAGCGGAATTAGTTAAAATTATAAATATGATTCATAGTATTAAAAATATTACTAAAATAATAAAAAAATGGAAAAAAATAAAAAATTAAAAAAAAATAATAATAATTTACGATCTTGTACTTAAATGGCATGTTTACTAAATTTAAATAATTTGCATTATAAAATTAAACTAATTAAGTCTACAATTCATGGTTAATATAATTTCCTGCTACTTCAATCAATTATCTTACTGTCCTGTTTTAAAAATTAGGCATGTTTGGCATAATCAGTTAAGGACTTTATAATTAGAAAAATCATCAACTGAAGTAAAAGCCATTTGCGTTAATAAATAACTTTAAACTGTTTTTTTTTTTAATTTTAATTTCATTGACCTTATATTGCAGGGTTCAGCAAAATTAGAAAAAGCAGAAATTCTTCAGTTAACAGTGGATCACTTGAAAATGCTTCATGCAAAAGGTAACATTCTTTTCTAATCTCATTTATTTATTTATATTAATAGGAGGTGAAATTGAAATTGCATTATATCAAATTTCTATTTAATTGCAAAAATATTATTTAAAAATTTTCGTTTGTCTTATTAACTTAATGTAAAAAAGCTTTCAAAACTACTACCGTTATTTAAAACTGCAAATGCTTCTAGAATTTAATCTATATCAATTTATCAACATTTAATGGTGCAATATCGTAAAATTTTTAAAGATTAATAATAAAAAAAATTTATAATATTTATTTGACTTCTTAAATCAGATATTGGTAATAAAGATCTGTAGTGAATAGAAAATTTGATACGCATGACATTTATTATAAATATATTTTTTAATTAAAAGCAATTTTTAAAATGAGAATATCATTATAATTACACTGTTTCATAAAAATAAATTGTTCGGTCATAAAAATGTTTCTTGGACTTAGCCTTTGTAATTTAACGATTTTTCTTACAAAATAATTAATTACTTAGGATATAGTATTAAATTGAATATATATATATACTACTAAAACTTATCACCTGCACTTTTTGAATTAAGATAATTTTTCATGAATTTGTAGTAACTTTTACATGATATCTATTTCAACAATTTCTCTTTTATTCCAGGTTTTGATGCTTTATCTTTTGATCCCCATAAATTTGCAATGGATTACCATATTATTGGATTCAGAGAATGTGCATCAGAAGTAGCACGTTACTTAGTTGCAATTGAAGGCATGGACTTGCAAGATCCTCTAAGAGTGAGACTCATGAGCCATCTTCAGTGTTACTCAGCTCAAAGAGAACTGTCATTGAAAACGTCAGTACAACCAACCTGGAACCCTACTTCATTCCCTTCATCCCTGCCACCAGCTCCTACGCCCCAATATCCAGGCCCATCAGCCTCAATGGGACCCCAAATCCCAGAAGCATCACTACAAACTTCTTATCCATATTCCGAGCCAGCAAGACTGGGTCAACATATGGACAATTCCTTTAACCCATCAGGACATTGTACAAGATCTTCTGCCAATCATGTGCCGGTAAATACCTCAACAACACAGTCATCAAGTATGACACTGGTACAGCATCCACCATCTGCGCCATCTATGGTACCTTCTCTACCTCAAATGTCAAGTTCCAATCAGTACCTTGGAGGACATGGATTTTCTAGTGGTGGTTATGGAAGCGCAGGTGCATTTAATCAACATGGCGCTTCCACTGGTAGGCCATACAGACCATGGGGTGCAGAGCTTGCTTATTGACAATGATAGATAGGCACAGTAATAGTTTATTACTTGCATATAGAGTTTAATATTATAGTTTTTTAAAAAACCACAACAGAAAATTTTTATTCCCATCCTATCTTAAAAATATATTTTTCTAATAACGAAGGTTGCAACTCTAAGAAGCATCTTAGACAGTTAAAAAAATATTTACACATTATTTCATTTTAAAAATTTACCGAGGTCTGAAATGATATAACTAATAATAATAAAATAAGAAATATGTCTTAGAACACCTTATACTAAACAAGCTGTTAGAGAAAAAAAAACATTTACCCTTTTTGTTTAAAAGTACTTACTATTTATATCAAGTATTTAAGAAACTTTATGATCAAAAAGATATTTTTTTAAAAATTGTATTTTTATGGAAAAAATTGCATAGAAATATACTTTATTTTGCATAATAAAATGTTTAAGAAAAGCATTTTTATTTGTCTTCTAAAAAGTAAAAAGTTTCTTAAATTGTGATCATAATCTTAAAATATTCTGGTTTCATAATGTAAGAAATGGAAAATTCTAGCATTGTATCTTAGATATAATGTTCTTGCATAAAAAAGATTAGCCTTTATATTAAAATTAATCTATAAAGATTATTAACCTTATAACTGGTGAAGTCGGATAGTACCATTAAACTGCATACTTTCTCTTAAAATTACTATAATTTCTCTATAATGTCAATTGAGGACAGATAATTTTATTTTAATTTATCTCAGTAAAGTTGAGTTAACCTAAATCCTTTTTTGGCGTCAAATTATTTATATAATATAATTCAAAATTTATTTCAATTTTATACTCACAATCATTATTATATTGATTTGTTGATACTTAAAAATTAACAAGTTAAAATATAAAATTGAATATTGTTTATGAAAAGATTTTTCCATTTTTTAAAACTATTTTTGATATAAGACAATAATCTTTACTATTTAATGATATATATTTTGTAATAAAATAATACGCATGATATATTTTAATAGCTTAAATTATGTACACTTGATAACTATTTAAGCAGATTTTGTTACATAAACATAAAAGTATATCCTAATAATAAAAAATCATACTACTATATTCATTGAATTACTAATGTTTAGTAATACAGAGTGTGCCTTCAAAAAATTTATATATTGTACAGTAAATTAATGCACCAAGTAAAATTATATTGCATAAGAAACCATTAACTTGATATTTACTTTTGTATGAGTTAATATTATAAGTGAGCTATTGAAACATTAAAACTTAATTTTTTAGTAAAATATTATTACTAAGTAAAATTAGTTTTTGTTTCACTTTTTTATCTAGTCTATAATTTTTTCATTTTATTAATTTATAATGTTATGATTTTTATTTATTGATCAAAATTTTTACTTTAAAATATTTTTCTACAAATTTTACACTATATTTTATAAAAACTCTTATTGTTTTTATTTATATTAATTTATACTATTTTAGCTTTTATTTATTCTCAAAAATTATGTTTTATACGAACTTTTACACTGCATCCAACAAAAAAACTATTTGTGATATATTTTGTATGTATTGCACTTAAGAAGATTTTGTGTATATATATATTTGTACAGTTTTCTAGTCTTTTTACAAAAATAAAATGTTATTTTTAAAACGGTGTTTTATTATTTTATTTAAAAACTAAATTCCAAGCTTGTATTCTTTTATTTATTTTTTTATAATTAAAGATCTTTGGTAAATTAAGTGATGAGCCACTTTTTCAAATTGTACCGGAAAGCGTATTTGTTAAAAACAATAAAAGTTTTAGATAAACAATAATATATTTCTGTAAACTAAACTGCTATCTAGTGGAAATTCTATAAAATCGTGAAGTACTTATGTAAAAACAATTGTAAGAGACAGTTTGATGTAAAAATGTTCCTTTTGGAAAAAGTGAAGCATACTGCCTAGCCCTTCATTAAGTAAATAAAAACATAAATATGTTTTCAAAAACAATTAACCAGTAAAAGTGACAAAATTCGATAGCTTAAACTTGAGGATCGTCCACACAAGCATGGTCCAGACAGATAACCTTAGCGGAAGGATTAATTGTTTCAAACTATTGGGAATTCAGTTATTTTAAGAAAAAGAAAACTCAATTGACTATTTTACATTATCAAATTTCCATGGGGATGTATTCAAGGGTCATATGCTTATTCATTATTTTCAGCATATTCAGTAACAAATCTTGCAGGATGGAGTTTTTAGTTTTACAATTATTGATTCATCTCTTTCACCGCAGTTAAAAAAATATTAATTCCAATCAAAAATACAGTAGTTATATCATAGATTATCCACGACATTACTTTTGTACAAAAACGTTAAGTGGCATAATTACTGTGTTTTTGCTTAAAAATCATTGAAACCGTACTTTAATAACGAGTTGTCCAGTTTTATTAACAAAATTATACCGTATACCGTTTGTCACTGTTTTTTTTTAATAATCTGTGGTATATGTCTAGACGGCTGAGTGGTAGCGCTTCGCTCTGTCGTGCCACAGGTCCTTGGTTCGATCCTCGGGCCGGAGAAGGTTGACTCAGACTTACTTCCCACCCAACCAGAACATCTGCTCTTCCACCGCAGTGCCCAAAGGTCAAGAAAACTGAGATGGGCACTGTAGGCCTTGGCTGTCTCGCCACTGAGTTTAGTTTAGGTATATGTCTTCTGTTCCAAAAAATGTCCTGATTTTTTCTTTGACCCACTACGGAGCCTGAAATGATCACCTAATAAGTTTAAATAAAATGCTGTAAACAGAGAAAGCAGAAAAATTTTACACTGTAACGAGCAAAAAACTGAGAGAAAAAAAACAGCACCGTCAAAACCAAATAATCTTTTTTCCTGTTCGTGCACTGACTTTGAAATTTTTGAAGAACAAGAAATTTGGCTATCTTTGAAACATTATTCCAAATAACGAACACGCTTTTCTATCAAAGTGATAACTGTACAGAATGTAGGGGTGGAAAGAAGTAAGAAAATATTTTCATTTTATTATGTATATAATTTAGTACAATAAATTATTGTGCAGCACAACATTGATAATAACGTAAACTAAAATTTGGGAGGAAAAAGAAAGTTGAGAAAATAAACTTATATTGAAAGTAATGCACCAACAGAAAAAAAATTCTATATTGTTGTTGTAACATACAATTTTTTCAAAATGTAGCAATAGTTATAAAAAATAAAAAAAGTGAATCTGTGAGAGAAACTGTCAGGGTGTTTTCTTATTCAGGGTGATTGAAGTTAAAACAAATGCATTTAACCATTTCAGGGTTCCCCACATCTTTTAAACCTTAAACGCAAATGAGGCCCTGTCCATTTTATAAATTTTTTTGGCGTTCTAATTACAAGCAAAGAAATATTTTGGTATTTTTTAAACATAAAAAACAATCTTATAGTTACTATAAACAATCTGTTAGATTATCGGTATTATTTGTACTAAAATATAAAACTAAAAATAAGTCATTTGACTTTTTTTTTCTTTTTCCATTCATTTCAAAAATTTATCAATAATTGATTTCGTAAATTAGAGAAATTTCAGTGCTGAATGATTATTTCTTTTAAATAACTGCAAATAAGTGCAACCTTAAAAAATTATTGTTTGGAAGTGAGCCGTGTTTAGAAAATTTTAACTTTAATGCAGAAAAAAACAACGTTGTTTGATGCTGTATTTCATAACCATAACTATTAAAATGCTGAATATAATAATTTTCACATGTTTTGAGCTAAATTAATACAAAATAATGAAAAAAATATATGAAAAATAGGCTTATAAAATTTTTGCGCCAAGGGATTAACCAAAGAAAAGGGGGGATAGAGAGCCATTAGAAATTAAAAAAAAAAGACTTAGGAGGATTATTCAGGTTTTCAAAAAATAAAGCTTTAAGGTGACTATTTATAGTTAAAATCAATTGCATTCAATCTTGTTCGTTAAGAAAAAAAAAGCAGTTAAACAGAATTAACACAGAATCCCTCTAACAAGATAGCAATTTTACAATAAGTTAAATTAGTAATTTAGCTTAAAAGTACACCATTTTTGAGACACTCTTTTGATTGGGGTTTTCAAAAACAAAACGAGTCTGAACTTCCACTAACTGTTTTTACAAATTTTTACTATTTTTATTCCCTCGATATCACTTTAATTAAATAATTTAAAAAAAATTTCAATAAATTTTTTGGAGAAATACAATTTTAAAACGATCGTCCAAGGTAAATTAGTATTATGCTTTTTCAATTCAGCGCTCTGATAAATTTGTGATTACTGAATGGTTAATTTCAATACTTTTAAATAAGAAATATACCATTTTTCAAACGATAAACCTAAATCATATCAAATTTGTCACCACATTTCTTAATAATATGTATTAGATAAATGAAGGGTGTGAACTCAGCGCTTTTAGAATTATAAATAAATCTTAAAGACATGATTATCTAAATCTAAATAAATCTTAAAGCAGTTTTGAAAGGGGAAAAAAACTGAACTTAAGATAAATCTTCAGAAACATATTTTTCAAATTACAAATTTATTACTAACTATTACAGTAAGTGTAAAATATAAATTAATTTCATAAATATTTTTATAAATATTTTCAGTAATTTCACTGCAAGTTATATAATACTCCTGTTAACCGATTTATAAAATCATTACTTACAGAAATTTCAATTGAAATAATTTCTTACTAATAGACAATTTGAAGTTTCATATTCTGTTTAAAATTGTAATGTGTTTAATATATTTTAAACAGAACTTAAGATTTTTATTAATAAAAAGGTTTTCTACTTAAATTTCAAATGCAGCTAAACATTTTCTTAACAACCCCTCAGTTTATTACTCTAAAAGTTTAGTCATTATTTCGAATTGTCAATCAGATATGGATCATTTTTAAAAAAATATTACAAATAAAGTCATTCAGATATTTAAAACATTTAATCTCTATCTTTCCCCTTCTAAAAATAGCAAATAAATGTATGATTCTCCAAATTCAACCTTATAAAATTCCCAGGTAGAAAAATTTAATTCATCAAGTTTTTTTCTTCCTATAAAATATTATTCGAAAATCCTTGAAATTCAGAAAGAAAAGAGAAAAAAAAGTCTGGTAGAATAAATTACTACAATCACCTATACACTTTGTGGATGGCCCCCAGTTAAACCAATCAAATTATTTATATTTTTTATGTAAATCAGGCTTTAAAAAAAAGCAGCATTTCGATCCTATCTATATTAAATCAAATGAACAAAAGGGACGCGAAAAATTTAGAAGTGATTAATCTGAGTCCTCATGTGGGAAAATTTAATTAGTAAACAAACTCCCATGTTCCAGTTTTGATACTTGATTTATAAATAAAACAAACCATTTATGTCACAGGCTTTCTAACAACATAAACGATGAGGAGAGAGGCTACTGAGCAAATTTAGCACAAATCACAATTTTAGAGTCCTCTAAATGTCCTTAAATAGCTTTTCAAATCATTCAAAAAAGAATCAAGAGAACCAAAACATTAAAAAGAGGACTGAAATGGACTTACTCGAAAAATGGACTATAGAGAGAAGCATTTGAAAGCCTTTCCATTCAATTGAAATGTCATTAAATGACTGTTCAAAAATGTGTTTACACATATTCAAAAATGTGTAGAAACACACTTGATCAGAAATTTAAAGAGCTTTTTCTTTTCCTTTCAAAATTCACCACAGGACAACTTTGAAATATATTTAAAATTACAACTTGTAAAAACATTTTATAAACAATTTAAATAGTTTTTTTTTTTTTAAGTAGTTAAAAGTCCAAATTTTAATTGAAATATAACATTTCTTGTCATACTCTTAATTTTAAAAAAATGTTTTAAAAAAAGTATATAAAAAAAGTCAGATTAAAAGAAAAAGTTTAAAATGGGCAAGTTTACATAATTTATTTTAAATGCGTACATATTCAAAACACTTTGCAATGTTAGTTACAATGTAATTTATATGCACAGAGAACATATTTTATAAAAATAAAATAAAAGATCACGAACTATAAAAATTACAGACTACAAATTATAAAACAAAAATCATAAAAGCTTTGCATAAAAGCTTTATTTCACACAAGTACATATAATTTTTTATGGCAATAAATAATTTGATATAACTTAAAATTCGGAAATGTTTAGTAATTTTTATTTGAAAACATTGTAAATATCACAATTTTTTTTTCTTTTTTTAGAGGAAACAAATAAAAATTACACACATTTGAAATTCAAAACATCAAATGCAAACATATTTACAGATAACTTCACAAGAGATGTCAATACAATTGGGGAAGTTTCAAACCAGATTTCCAGTCTATTTCACTTTGTGCGTTTTTATTTTTTATTGTTGTTAAATTGCCCTTTGATTATGTTAATAAAAGTGCCCAATTTCTGACAAGTCTTTAAAAAAATACTTATAAAAAAGTTATATTTACGAAAACTATTGAAAAAATGCAAATAAATAAAATTGTAATTTTTTTCCAACATAAATTTTTTTAAAATAAATAATAACAGTCAAAGACATAATTACAAAAGAAACTTTTACAAAGAGAAATGTGTAGGTAATACTGTAATAAATTTTAAAAATTAAATTCTTAAAATACATTAGAATACAATAGAGCATAAGTTAATTTATCAACATATAAGTCGCTTAAGAAAACCAAAATAATAAGAAATGTTTCGCAACAATAAAATAGTAATTAAAAATTCATTTTTTATTTAATAGTACAAAATTACTAAGATTACTACTTTAATTTCACAACTTAGACAAGTTAAAAATAATTTCTAATTATAAAGATCGGAGTCAAAATTAAGAAAACAATTTGCAAAATGTTAATAATAATGAATTAAACTACTTTTAAAATATATTCAAATTAGACATTAATTATACCTCAATATTTCAAAAAGAAATGAAAAAAATTTTATTTTAAAATCAATAATTTAAATTGTGAAAATAATATTTCAGATTTTAAAAAAAAAAAACATGTAAAAAGGAAATCTATCTATAAAAAATTAAAATTAAGCATAAATGTGTTTATCAATATATAACAAAATTTTTGAGAATAAAAAAAAAAACAAGTAAGAATAATATAAAATAACCACAATAAAAGAACACTTTAAAATTCATTTTTAAACTGTTGGGTTGCAAAGAAAGTAATTTTGGAGCATTTTTAGTACGAAATAAAACTCAAAATTTTCAATACAAAAAAATTAACTTTAACCCAACAAATACCTTCCATTCTGTTTGATAACCGTTTACCGACTTTTTGGTAGCTTCATGATCTTGCAATCATAGAACTTCTATATCAGCAAAATACTCATTCAAAAGTGATTTCAGATCATCATTACTGAAATTTTTAAATTCCAAAGAAGTTTTGCAAGCTTTGAAATAAATGATAATACGATAGTGTAAGATCAGAGCTACATCGAGGATTACAAATTCTAAAGGAATCTTATTTCACCACAATGCAAAGCCTAAGTACAAAACTATAGTTGAGTGGCTGGAAAGTACTGTCACATTCTCCATATAGTCCCGGTCTTGCACAATCGGACTATTATGTATCTCAAAACTTCTTAAATAGTTAACTTTTCAATAATCATGATGACTTCAAATCACACTTGGTTGAGTTTTTTGTTGTTAAGTTCTATGGGATAAAAACCATGAAGCTACCAGAACGATGGCAAAAAATCATGGAACAGAATGGAAGATATCGGACTGATTAAAACTAATTTTTATCTTGAAAAATTTGAGTTTTATTTCACACTAAAAAGCACAAATTACTTTTTTGCCAAAACAATACTATGAAGATATTAAGAGTAAAAACATGTCGCAACTTATGGCATTAAAAACATTTTTCGACAGTACTGGAATTTTTTGCTCAGTATTGACTAGATATAAGGGTTGCCCAAAGGAAAGGTTGAGATATGTGATAGTCAGAAATGCAGTAGCCATAGCATTGTCACTCTTGGAATATAAATTCAGGTAAGAGGATTGCATTGCAAACTGCGTATAACTCATTAGCTAGCCTGTGTGTATTTTAAGCAAATGCAATGATGGATGCAATCAAAATATAGTATGAGTTTTCAAGTATGATTTTTTGAGGTAACCTTAATTTAAACATTGGAATAGTTGTTGCTTTGTCGAAGACTGTCTAAGAAAAATAGTTATTAATATTTGATGTTTTAGTTTTTGTGAACAAATACATTAAAATTGGATCCAAGGGTAAACACAAATTTTGATCTCAAATAAATATAATTCTGCTATTGTCAAAATAACCACTTTACATTCACTTTAAAGGTTCTCAAGTTGACCAGTTAAAAGAAGTTTTGAATGCACTTTTAAAACCCTAAATTGCGGCAGTGTTATCGTAGCTGTATTTTGTACAGTATCACACTTTTTCATTTTCCATCTGGGCAACCCTTATGTATATAAGTTTCAAGTATCAATGCTTGGAAGAGATCAAATCGTAAATGTTATAAACATTAGAAACATAACCATGCTCTTTATAATGGGTGGATATATCACATTTGTTAACTGAAGAATAACATTCAGCACAAACAAACTTTGATCTTTGATCAAAATAAAAATGAGGTTTTGAATTGGGATCTTCAATCAACTTAACTTCTTCACTTGCACTTTTATCGCAGTCTCCATATTTGCCATTTAATGAAGACTTTTCACGATTACCTGTAGATACTAATACTGGCATCTTAGTGTGTTTAGTCCTAAGTAAAGGTGACATATGATTAAAAGCATTTTTAGCACCAGATTGATTAGATACACCAACTTTACTATTCGCAGCCTCTTCACATATTTTATATGGTGCAAAACAGTTGTAACTAATTTGTGCAACCAATTCAGGAATTTTGCTTATCCCATTTCTGTCCAAATTTTTATGGCAATGTGTATGGTTGGGAGTTGGCGATTCTAAATTTGCCATATTTGTATCTTGCAATGTGAAGTCTGAAATTGGTAGCTTTAAATCTCCTTTATTTATGGAATTTACATTGTGTTCAAGATGAAAACTATATTTTTCATAATTTGCCTCCTTCTTAGTGCTATCAGATGTCAGTTCACAATTGATAATATCAAAATCCATATTAGAACTTATGTTTTTAAAGTCCTTCCTAACATTACAAACTTCTGAAATGCATGTGGATTTAAAATAGTCAAGTGTTTGATTTGTACTATTTTCTGTCTTCTTTAAACTACCACATTTATTATGGTAACACAGGCAATTTGAATCTAAAGATAAATCTGTACTGCTTTTACTCACGCAAGATTTGTGCATATTCTCATAAGGGCAATAATTGGATGAATGACCACACGTAGAACATTGTATTGCACACTTCATCTTTTCATTTAATAAAACTGAGTGGCATTTCAATTCCATGGAACTAGCCATTTTATCATTTGCAAAAAGCTCTGCTTTAATTTTGCTAGATTGAATAGACTTTTCAATTGAAAAAGATCTGGAATCTGAGGATATATTTTTCATAAAGGGCTGAGTATCACAAACCGATTCATTATTTTTAAATTCTTTCTCATGCACTTTTGCTTCCAAAGGATATGAAAGCAACGGGTCTTCTGATACCACGCAGGTACCATTTGAACCACACTCATACAGTGAATTGGCATTTTCCAAGCTCACAGAAAAACTGTTAATAATTTTAGGAGAAAAACTAGCCTGACTTTGAAAGTCTAAAGAATTTTGATCAGCAAGAGAAAAAACACTTTCAATTTTAGGAAACTTTGCGATAGTTTCATTGCTATTTTCTTCAAGTGATAAACAATAGAAGTTATGATCAGTTTTCTTTAAATGTTTTTCATAGTCATCCAGTTTTATTATTTTCGTCCGCCCACGAGGTGAATCACATGCGGGATCACTAGAATTATAACATTTTTTAACACTATCAGCATAGTGATTATGCAAATATGCTCTATAGCAAGAAAACTTAGGCTTAGCTGTTTTGCAAATGTCACACGTGTAGAAAACATCTTCTATTTTGTGATTCAGATCTGCTCCAATATTACTTTTCTTTTTCCTCGGGGGTTGCTTTTTTAATTTTCTTTTCATAATGCAAGTGGAATCAAATAATAAAAATTTAAGATGCACTTAGCTTAACAAAAAAAAATAATAATTTTTGTTGAACACCAATTTTTTTTCCTTGGCCGAGTACTTTCAGGGATAAAATAGGACTAACTGTGTAGTCAGTTATTTGTGTCAATTTCTATATTCATTAAGAAAAAACACGACTTTTCCATTAAAAACTGTTTTCAGCAGCACTTAGAAATATCATAAATAGTCCAAGATGAGTGGCATGATATGATCTTGGGAGACACAGCTTTAAGTCTACCTAAAAAAGGTTGTAGTGCTTATTAATATGACAACAGCTAGAAATGTTTTCATAGCAATGTGTAATAAATCGATAGAAAGTACAATTCCACAAAGCAAAAGCTAAATATAACTATGCTGAATCTATGATATATTGCTATGGTGTATTTAATAATTTAAAAAGTAATCTGAAAAACTGATAAAATTATATAAAAAGTATCAAGAATTGTATAAAATTGATAATTTACCAAAATACACAGCAACAGAATAAATATAATAATAACACATTAAGAAAAGGGATGTCGTATGCGCAACCTTTCTAAAGGGAAATAAGTAAATTTAATCATGTTGTAAAATTTTCAAGCATTGTTTTCAGACCTATAAACACATTTTTTTTCTAATGACTTGATCGATAGATAAAATTTGAATTCCCAAGCTTATAGTTTACTTCAGTTTAATAATCCTTAAGGTTAAAAAAAAAACGATAGGTTTATAAACCAATCTCTTGACACAAAAATTTTTAGTTCTAAGAAAATCTAGCTAAACAGTATTCGAAAAGATTAAAATATGCAAAAAAATAGCACATGTTTTTGCTTATAATATCAAATAAACATGTATAAAACAGATGGAATTCCCAAAAATTCCTTAATTTATATATCGCATACGTCTCTGCAAAAAAAATATAATGATTCGACGTCATTCTTGAACTTAAAGTTAGTAGTTCAAAATTCGAAAAGTTCGTTTGGGAAAAAATTGTGCAGCTCGACGTAAATAAAATACCTACCTACCTATCTTGTTCGGAAAAAATGTTCTACATGATAGGCGAATATTAATAAACTAGTTACTGTGGATATTACATACTTGATAAATCTCTTCTACAATACAATCAACATTATAAACTGTAAAACAACCTAAAATGTAGTTTTCAAACTAAGAGAACATATTTAAAACAATTTGCAAGATTTAAAATAAAAAAAATACTCACTTTATCAAATAAAAATAAATATCTACTTCATCTCACCAGTGTTGTTTTAGCTACTATTTTCGCTTTAACCTAACTTTTATTTATAGCGTAATTCTAGGGAACTGTTCAGACTGCATGCAAACTACGTACCTCCTAACGCAATAGAGAGGGGAATAGAATTTAGGGCCGTTTTTACTGTCTGTGATATTTCTAGCAAGCGAAAAATTGTCCGTGAATGACAGCCAATTGGTGGTTATTCGGAAATGAAAAACTCGGCAATCAATTTCTCATTCGCGAATAATTTTCTTACCCTTTAAAAAATAGCATGCAAAGAGAATTCCCTTTAAGAGCCATTCATACTTCTTTCGAAAAAATTGCATATGCGATTTTGAAATTGCTTGCAAGAATCTGATTGGTGAAATACATTATTCCACGAAAAACTCCCCAATCCCCTCACTCTAAATCATCTCCGATTTATATAATCAATTTTTTTTTTGTAAGCAGTGTAAATGACCTTTTAAAAATCCAATTCACTATTCTCACCAGATGCGTTTTTTTTATGCAAAAATTTCGCATATGAATGTGAGAACTAGATTGATGGATAATATTTACCGGTGAAAAAATCGCCAGTTAGTTTCCCGTTCGCATTAGAAAGAACTATATCCTGTGATAAGAGCTCTTAGTTCCTAATATCTATATTTCTCGCAGTGGTTTGTTCGTAGAGACGCGGCTCGTATTGACAATCGCACCCTGCGTGGTCAGCTTGCGCAAGGACCGAGATACGCGGTGTCACTTCTCGTTGAACTGTTCTTCCGTAAAATGAAGTTATATAGATATCAGATTGGTTGGAAGGTATATACTTTATTTATGTCACTCTAGATCAGCATAAGGTTCCTCTATAGTGGGAGCTGAACTGTCCGTCATTATGGAGCAAACAAGTTCGCTAGTTACGTGAGATTTAAAGCTCCTTTAGATACTTAAAATTATTGATATAGGTAATTGTGAAGTGATGAATTGGACAAACAGTTTTAAAAATTCTTAAGCCTGATGACAAATTAAATAATAATCATTTCCGAACACCTTTGCTGTAAGCAGAATTTATAACCACGTGATTGCTACTAAAAATTTTGAGTCAGTCGAAATTTCGAGTTATGTCCGATTAACTAGAGTGCTTGCATTAATTGAGCTCTGTACTGGATTATATCTCGTGTTTTAATCATTTCCCGGCCAAATGCAGATGTTATATCCATGTATTATTAGCAAAAATAATTTATTGTTAATCTAAATTTCAACTGCTTTCAAACTAGTCAAAGTTTCAAAACTAAATTATGTAGGATGTTAATGCATAAATATTGATGATTTATTGACCTCTATAGGCATAATTTATATAATCAAACAAAATTTATAGCCAATCATTATTTTGACCACTTTCCGATTTGCTGGAGTGTATGGGATAGCCGCTATCTGTGAAATATGGTCCCAATAATTTGGTCAAGAGAGCGCTCCAAAGTTTGGATCCTTAATGCTAATTTCACTTTTTGCGTACTTCGTAATATTGGAGAACTTTTCAAGCGAATTGAAAAGCTTCTGCAAACAATTATAAAGTTCATCTATCCAAAGATAATTTCATGCAAAAAATAAATTTCAGTAATTATTTATTATTATTTTAAATTAATGGCCGAGAAAATTTTGAATTGTAAGGTATACACATTTTGTATAAAAGAATATAATTTTTACATGGCAATGGTTGAATAGTTCCTGAGAAATCAAATTCTTAAATATTTTACTTTTTTGAAATTCAATTACCCTCTATATTTTGGGGGTCAGAAATCCGAACCAGTCGAAAAAAAAGGTATGTTAATTCTGAGATAATACGTTTTGTGTCTAATTTCGTCACTTTATCGTTTGCACATATTAATTAGCATATTTGAGGTGACCTTCTTGAGATATTAAGATTGAGTCCTTGAACGTGAAGATCCGATCATTAGATCAAAAGTTATTCAGGGAAATCCACGTGTTTTTTTTTTTTTTTTTTTTTTTTTTTTTTNTTTTTTTTTTTTTTTTTGGCTCACTGAGCATTAAATAGAACTATATACAGGAGTTTTAGTAAATCTAAAATCAAAAATATGTGTAAAATTCTTGATATAATATAAAAATTACTAATCTATAATTTTTGGAGAATTGGCTTGAAAATAATTTTATAGTAAAGCAAAGTATCTCAAAATCGATCATTAAAGAAAAATTTAATACTACATTTCCATCTATATTTCATAGAATATCTGGTTTTTAAAAAAATCCAGAGTTTTATTTCCAATTTAAACTCGAAATACTCATATGGTACTTTTTCATTCAATAATACATAAATAGTTTATACAATATTTAATACGATTGCTGGTTATATCTTTGTAAGGGTTAACGAATTCAAATATCTTGGTACGGTCGTTAAGGATCAAAACATACTTAGAGCAGAAATCACCAATAGAGTAAAGATGGTTAATAAGCGTTTCTTAGAACTGAGGAGACAATTAGAATCGAACCTTCTCAACCGAAAAGCAAAGCTAAAGCTCTATTAGAAACCCGTTATTCCTGTACTCTTTAATGGAAGCGAAACTTGGATCCTAAATTCAGATATACAGCAGTCACTGGACAATATTGGTGCAATTCAAGAGAGGGGATGTTGGCGAACCAGATATAACTTCGAGCTCTACAGACTCTATAAGCAGCTCCAAATTACACAAATAATCCGAAGCAATAGGCTGAGATGGCTGGACCATCCATGGAAAAGATCTGAAAATAGCGCCATGAGAATAGTCACCTTTAAGAACTTTAAGGGGTCACGTCCTAGAGATAGACCCCCTACTTGATGGCTCAACGAAGTCGAAAATGACTTGAAAACCCTAAAGATTAGAAATTGGATGGGAGTTGTACGGATAGGGGGCACTGGCGTTTGTCAGCTGTTGAGGCAGCCAAGACCTGCAAGGGGCTGTTGTGCTGACTAAGAAGCTTTTTAAATAAAAATATAAATTGGCATTAAAAAAAAAATAGTTTACATTTCTATAAAAGGCAGAATCATCAGTTAATATTTCAGTCATAAAAAAAAATTAAAACCGCAAGTTTTAAAACTATCTAAATGAAAACATTAACTATTTAAAGGAAAATGCATACAAATCAAAACAATTAGTAATCAGAATAATTAATTTAATTTAGCGAATAAACAGTGTCTTTTGAATTTCTGAGGGCTGAAATACAACGAATGACGCCCGGTGGCTGAGTGGTATTGCTTCGCGCTCTCACGCCACGGGTTCGATCCTCGGGCCGGACAAGGATGACTCAGCCTTTCATCCCTTCAGTGGGTCGATAAAATGAGAAATAAGCATGCTTGGGAACTAAACCTAACTGGAACATCTGCTCCTACAAGAAAACTGAGATGGGCACAGTAGGCCTTGGCCTTCTATGGACTGTCACGTCTCTGAGTTTAGTTTAGAAATACAATGAATTCTTTGTTGCTATAGTACCAATATTTTATCATGTTGCTCTTCGTTTTTTTTTTCCTAGTCATGAGACACAGGATTCAGCTTTTTAAATATAAAAACATAGCTTTTTTTTAAAAAACTTATTAGCAAAATTTTCTACTAGAAAAAATTTCTTTGCAAACAAGCTAACTTTTCATCAAAAAATTAACAATTTATTCGGTACATAATAACAAAAACAATTTGATTAAAGTAACAAGTAGAGTTATGAAAATTATTTAAATCTGATTATTTCACAAAATAAATGGAGTTTTAATAAAATATTTGCGTACTCTTCTCCTTTACTCTAAACATTCATGCCACCGCTGGTTCAAGCTTTTAATTGAAAAAAAATCTTTTTTTACACTTAACCTCTATTTTTTTCTCTGGTCAAATGATACGAAGAAAAAAGGAAAAAAGAAAGCATTGTTACTTTATCTTGTTTTTATGGTGCAAGTATAGTATAATATTATTGAACAAATCGTAATAGTTAGAGATTAAAACACGGAAAATATTGTATAGAACTATTGCATTAAAAATATTCAATACAAATTAGTTATTATTCCCTCATACCAAGATTTAACTAAAAAATTTTATCGAGTTAAAGGCATTTACAATAAAATAATTTTAAAGAAGGATTTGAATAATCTCGAAGAAATAACACAGTGACTAGCTATTTAAATATTTGTACAAAAGTAAAAAAAGGACATGATCGCCGCGATAACTCATTTGAAAATTCCATATGATTACTGTGTGTTGTTGATTGCTATCAAACATTATTAAAATCAGATAAAAAGATGAATCAATAATTCTGCAACTGCATCTTAAAAGATTTGTAAATGCATTTGTTGAAAATTATAAAAAGCGTTAAACCTTGGGATTCATTGCATACAAATTTGATTCCATAAAACTGTTGTGTTACCTTTTAATAAAATAACTGAATTCTCCAAAAGTTTGAAACGCTGATTCTTATGGTTAAAGTTACATGCCAGAAAAATGTATGCATAATAATAATGGACGATTCCAAAGTTTGCAACCTAATTTCGCGATTTTTGTAAGCAATATTAAATATAATACGATGTTGAATTGAAAATCCAAATCTTTCATATCTTAAAATCAATTATATTAAAATCCGCTTTTGTATTCGTAGGAAATGGGATGTTCTAAACACAAAAAAATCAGGACAAAAAGCTAAAAATTAGGACAAAATATTTTCATCGGGTATAGAGGGATATGATAGGGATATCAGGATAACTACAAACCCTGATGATGTTATAGCTATTTTAATTAATAGCTTTGGTAAATAAATGAAAAAGCACACGTTAAAAATAAAATAATTTGAAATCACACCAGTTTATTTTAATGACATTTACAGGTGCAGACATTTGAAATCATTTAAAACTACATAAAAACAAAAGTTAGGTAATGAGATATGAAAAACACAATTAAAAAAAATTTCCAAAGAAATATATTCTTCAATTTAATACTACTATCTAGTACACACAATATATATGTCGCAGGTAGGGTA